AATAGATTTTGGTTTGACTGTATCTATTTGATAAATGAAGTTAACCAACTAACGTTATACATACCTTTTTGGTTTCTATACCCAATATTTAAAAAATTTACAAATGCAATAAAAATATCGGTATCGGTACTCGGTATCGGCAAGTACCACAAATAAAAGTATCGGTATCGGGCGAGTACTGGAAAAAGTGGTATCGGTGCATCCCTAATATTTAGTGTTAGTGATTTAAACAAACCGCATTAAAGTATTACACTAAGAATTAAACTTCAGTTTTGCGAGGGCAAACAACACACATTTTCCTTCACTTTTCTCATTTTCCTCTGAAAAACCTACAGTTCCTGCTCTGGAAATACAGGAGCATTTGTGGAAAAACAACCTGGACTTTTACTGGGAAAACTCTTCTGGAAGTTTAACGCTGCAGTTAATGAACTGAGGGGAATGAAAGCACAAACTAATTTGGCTCACAGCCCTCGGCCTCTCTTGTAAAACAAGAGATTTTAGGTAGCAAAAGCCATTTACTGCCAGCAGAAGGAGGAGGAGTCAGGCTAATTCCTCATTTAGCAGCAGAATAAAGTGAGAAAGTCTGAGCTCCAGAGCGCACTAATGGCTCCTGCCCTGCTGTCCTGGGGTTGTTTTAACACCGTCACAGCGGACACACAGACAGCTGCTGCCGCGACTGCTTCACACCTGCAGCTAATCACTTCATCTCTCTGAAAGTGCTCACAAAATATACCAATGCAACTAACTATCAGCTGCACCAAAATAGTGTTTGCCAAGTCATGCATCGCTATAACTAATGCTCAGAGTTAGTGTTAGTGATTTGAACAAATCATTGCATGCGACCAAAGACATGCATACAATCATGCAAGAGGTGTTTTATTACTTTCACTGCTATGCATTTGGCAGATGCTTTTGTCCAAAGTGACTTGCATTGCATTGCATTCATTGCATTTTATCAGTTTATGAATTCCCTGAGAATCGAACCCATAATCTTAGTGTTGCTAGCGGCATGTTGTACTATTAAAGCTACATGAAAGTTGCCAGATTTATGATTTTTGCCTGAAATTAGTGGAAAAAATTACTTACTTCAAAGTAACAACATGAGTCATGACTTTTTACATATATTGTATTTTATATATATCATATGAAATCATATCCAAACATATATATATTTTTTTTTTTTTTTAATTATTATTACTATTTAAATGTCATGTAATATTTTATATACATATATAAAAAATAAAATATTGCACTAATAGCTATTAATTTAGATTTTGTGTGCATGTGTGTGAGTGTATGTA